AATCCCTAATATTAACGAAAACATTACTATTCATACTAATGGTGAATGTTTCCTTTAACCGTTAATATCATTCAAGAACATTGACATTAATATTAATGATTAATGAAAACATTAATTTTAAAATTAATGTTAATGTTTTTCATTAATCATTAATATTAATGAATTAAGTTTTTCTTAGAAAACATTAACCATTAATATTAATGGCTAATGGAAGTCATTAATTAATGTCATTAATTAAGTTCCGTTAAAAAAAATGGTCCACCCCTACACACAAGGCTACTTCAAGGAATGATATGATTATAATGACACATGATTCGATTAAAGTCAGAGAGAACGTCATCTGTTAGAAATATGAAATAAAAGACAATAGTAAAAACAATGCTTCAATGTGCTATGAATGATTGTTTCGTAGTGACAAACTTAACAAAATCATTTGATTTGACTTAGACAATGAATACGCTGGTATATAAATTGAAAATAAAGAAGAATAGCCACTCGTGTAATATTTGTAGCTTGTATTACTCGAAATGGAACGATTTTGTTATTTTTTTTAGGTGCATCGTGTCTATTGAGTCAAACATCATTGAGCTCTATTTCCAATTTTTTTTTCTGATTTTGTATATATATATATATGAATATTAAACTCTTTCATATCAGTAGTTTTCGAGAATCTTGCCGTTCGTAATCTAACAAATTTTCTATTTTTATTTGAAATAGATATAATTTATAAAATAACCGTCGTCTTGCGAAAAATATGTCTGCCAGTTCACAACAATCGCTGAAACAAGAGCTTACAAGTAATATTGAATATTTAATCTTTTATTTGCATTAAAATTTATTTTCCTGTCTTACAAGATGATTCTGCAACTGAACCAGAGGGTGTAGATCAACTACATCAGTCACCAAAAGAAGTAAATAATAAATATATCTATGAAATCATTTGATGTCACTTTCTCTTTCTTTTTTATAGTCATCTCGAATGGTAAATAGTACTCCAACGAAAATACCAACGCCAGATAAAATTCAGACTGAAGTTCATAGCCAAGATGTTCAAGCGAATAGTGAAATTCCATCTTTATTCAATTTTTTGAACTGTTATGTAAGCCTTACACAACATCAGGTAACTAGTCAATCGAAGGTATTAAAAATTTTCATTGAGACTGATTATCTCTTAAAAATGATTTCATTTTAGGAAGATAAAGATATTAATATTCCTATTATAAATTCTGAAGAAGATCTTAAACTCGAGTCACAACAACCACAAAAAGAACATGAAAATCTACATCTTCACAAACAGCAAATGTGACACCCTCGTAATAGGATGTAGATTTATATCTAGAACACAAGAATCTAATGAACAACGATTATTATTTATACAATATGATACAGAACTTAAAGATCTATGCTTTTGTCATTCCTAATTATAATGTTTCTTTATACTATAGTACTCTTTTCAATGGTTCTTTTATTGTAAAGTATAAATGTTAACATTGTGATTAGCTTGATTCATATATGTCTTTGTTTTTTTTTGTGTTGCTTTTTATCTACATTTGATGCGTATCTTTATTGTTTATTGAATTGATACTAGATACTTTCTAGACTAACACATAAATCATTGTACGAGAATAAAGATATTTTCTACATATTATATTCTTCAATATTCACTATTATTAAAATGTCCGATTCAAATAGTGCACCAAAATTTGATGTTGAAATGGGTAAGATCTTCGAGGAGAAAAGGATAAATGTCTATAATTTAAAATAATTTCCTACAGACATCGACACAGAACTACAATCGATTGAACCAGTCGAATTGATAATACCAAATATACAAGATACGAATACTAATATATTATCGACATATGGTTCAAATTTGAAATTGAACCTTCTTTGCACAATGGGAAGAACAACGGCAGCTCTTACTTCATCTCTAGCATTACCAGGAGTTGATATTGTTATCTATGAAAGTTTTGACGAGTATTAATTGTAAACTTTAATTGAATTCCAACATGATAGAAGTAATTCTATATGGAACTCTATTTTGTATTGTAACATATTCCTTTGAAACGTTTTGCTATTTTTTTTTCTGTATTTAAGTCCTTATATACTTGAAAGTATCACATAATAAATATGTATCTATTTCTTTTTCTATTCTAGATTAATATAGATTTTCGATAAAATCATAATTGAATGACTGCGAATAACTATCATTGTAAAACACGTTCTAATAGTGGTCTAGTATGTGATACTCAAGGTTGTTCGTATGAATTACTCTCACCAACACAAGTTTTGACTGAAAATGTTCAAAATTTAGAGAATAGTATAAAGGAAAAGAAGAAGAAGAAAAAATGTAAAGGTAATCGAAAATTGCAACATTTCAAACGCAAATGTCGTTCAAATGGAATGAACGAAGAACTAATCACAAAATTGATCGAGAACCGAAACACTTATCATAATTCAATAAAATCGACTGATAATACTAAGATCAATAAGGATATGAAAAACAAAAAGAATCAATCGAAAAAACGTAAACGATTTCAACTATTAAATGAAGACAAACCTAATGTTATAAAATCATTGAGTCAGTTGTCAATATCTCAGCCATTACGAAAGAAGACAAAAAATGAAGATAAACTAGCATCAAACAGCAATAATAATAATAATAATAATAATAATAATAAGTCAGTAAATATTTATAGAAAATAAGAGCACATATTATCTTAAAGTCTTTTATCTAGATCATCGAAATATTTAAAAATGCCGAAAAAGTTGCTTTATCATTCTTTACGTGTTCACTTATACTATCCACTAAAGAGGAAAAAAGAGAAAATTTTTATTCTAACAAGACTTCAATTGCTTGATTGGCAATTTTGTCTTAATCTTGATTTACATTTATATCAATCATATTACACCGAAGGAAGACAATATAAGACATGGCCGGTAAGCTGATAAGTGATACTCATTTTTATTTAATTCAGTATTTTATATTCATAGGAAGATATTGTTAAAATGGCAAAAACGAATGATTATGATTTAACAGAAACATTTCTTAATAAACTAGTTAATCAAATACAACACACGGTTGATCAATGTACGACTGAATTGTTATCACAGTCACTATCTTGTCCGAAAACATTACTCCTATCACATATCGAAAGTCGACTAGTAGAATTTGTTCGTCTACATCATATAGATTTAACACGAAAAATAAATTATCAAGTGAATAAATTCAAAGACTTGATACGGGAAACCCAACTGTTTGAAACGTTATCGTCCTATTCATTAACGAATGAACAAGTAATTATAGCTAAATCTTTTGTTGTATTACGTTTGTTTCTTCTATGTTCTAGAAACAGGTCGTCGATTGTCTAATCAATATCCGTCAAACTCAATTGGAAACATTTGAAGAGATGACGATGTTAGAAGCACGTATAGTATGTAAAAGTTTACCACAATCAATTGACGATCTCGATAAACTTATTTTAATTGATGAGACTCTATTGAATTATATGTCCACCAACAACAATATTAGTTTCAAAGATGAAACACATCAGCAGTATCGTAAAAAGATACGAGAATATAAACGTCAATCTCTTATGAAGAATTTCGAGGAATATGAGACAATCATTGAAGAGAATGAATATTTATATCAAGAAGAATTATTAAAATTCGAATATGAACTATCTAAGGATATTGAACCAGTTAACAACTTAATGAACTCTCTGTATTATTATCTTAATCATCGAACTGATCGGCTCATACGTGACATTCGTTATAAAGAAGCAATATTTCGTATAAAATTAAATCATCCCCATTCTCATGGTTCATCATCATCATCATCATCATCGTTAAAGATTAACAGTGTTAGTGTCTATCCAGAAGCGATTATTGAAACATCAGAAAATCTTTTTACAGATGAAGAAATAAAATTTCTTTCCTATGCAGGCAATATATGATTACTTTCTCATCATATTCATTCATAATTATGCCCATGTATTTCATTTTCATATAGGTGGACCCAATTATATTAGATGTAATCAAAGTTTTCTTTATTCAAAGAAAAAAAACCAAGAAAAAACTACAATCGAACTTAATGCGATTATGAGCAAAGTTGCAGTTGATCTTAATCATCGTCATGGTATACCATTGAAAGCGTTGGAAATAAAACATTTTTGCACTGATCTTGAAACAATCTTTAATGAAAGATATACCAGTACATGATTCTATCTTGATATATATCGTATTCGAAAAGATATTAAATTTATTCATTCAATTAAACGTAAATTACTTAAAATAGATAGTATTATACGTGTGACTAATAAAAGTGGCATTTTTCATATTGGTTCAACCCTTGACTATGACGAAAAAGTACAAAGATATCAAGTGAAAACTAATGCTTATATTCAGTTATCATCGGATCCATTAATGGATACATTCTATAAAGTAGTTAGTTTGCTAAATAATCTTCGTACCAAACAACAAATTACACAATGGCAACATACAAAAATGATGCCCGATAAAAATAAAATTCAATTGGCTTATTTATATTTCATACCGAAACCACATAAAGTAAGGATGTATTCTTTTTTATAAAATAATTTCAGTTTCTCAACTAAAATACATGTTATTCTATTAGACAGGTACTCCGTTGCGACCCATTGTTTCTGGTATGAATACACCAACAACAAAAATATCAAAAATGCTTGATAGATTAATTCGGCCGTTATTTGATCAATACGTTAAGCAGACAACAATCATAGACGGTGTTCATCTTATTCGTCAACTAGATAAATATGTTAGTCTCGGTCTTTTAAAGCCTAGTACTCATTTATGTACATTTGATATAACTGACCTTTACACTATGCTACCACAAGAAGAATCAATAGCTATTTTGAAACAATTTCTTATTCGATTCAATCACACGCATGTGAGAGGAATGTCGATTAATGCTATAGAAAGTTTAGCTCGTATAGTTTTGACTGAAAACGTTTTCATCTATGGAAATAAATATTATCGTCAAATTAAAGGGGGTGCAATGGGATCGCCGTTTACTCTAACTTTGGCTAATATATTTATGTGGCATTGGGAACAGAAATTAGTCGAAAAGCAGAAAGCTTCTAATGAATTATATGGCCGGTAAGTTATATTATATAAAGCAGATTTTTTATAAACTATTCTTTTACTATTCCTACTTATAGATATATCGATGATATATTTTTAACTTCCAACGATTCTATCGAAAGTCTACATGATATGTTAGAAAACGCTAACAACTATCATTTGAATATTAAACTAACTCGTGAAGTAGGCAGTTGTGTTTCTTTTCTTGACGTCCAGATCAATAATCAAGATGGAAACATTACCACGTCAGTCTATCATAAAGAAGCAAGCGAGCCTTATATTGTGCCATTTAAATCTGACCATCCTCGTCATATATTCGAGAATATTATAACAACTTCTCTTCTTCGAGCAATTCGTTACTCCTCAACATTACAAGCATTTAATCATGAAATACGAGCGCTAAAACTAATGCTAATTTATAATAGGTAAGAACTCGAGTATTCAAAGAATAGTCAAGGTCTTATTCCATTACGCTATTCTAGCTATCCATCACGATATATATACCATTATTTGAAAAAATTCTTTCAACAGTTATCTGCTACATCGATTTCTATTCTACCAATGATTCACGATGAAAATGAGTACGTCCTACTACGAAGTAAACTGTTATCGAAACCGACACCGAGTGAACATGCACGAGCATCAAGAATAGCAACAACACTTGACAACAAACATCAAAACATATCCGTTGATCCTTTAGTACATGCAAAAGTACACAAAAGTGATAATATTACCACCTTCACCTGTCCGATCATTGTTCATTACACACATGAAAGCCGCTATGCTCATTATAAATCTACCATACATAACGCTTGGTTCGAATCATTTTATCGAACACCCGTAATGATGACAAAGTTGATCGTTGGATCTCGCAACAATCCAAACCTAACCAAAGAACTAGTTCGACATAATCCAAGCAAACACGAAAAGAGAAAAAAGAAACAGTGAATAGGATCCACAGACTTACATCTCGGATCCTAACCCAATTTAAATGACAAATTAAACTGTAACAATACCTAACTCACCTGTAAACACGCTTTCGCCCTTGCTAAAAAAAAATTTTCAAATAAAACATCATAGCCATGTTACACGAGACAACATAACTCCACAAAGGGTCCATAACATCCCACGCAAAATATTTTAATTCAAATAATTAAAACCACTCCTTGGACAAAAAGACTTCGATAATCATGAATTTTGTTTGAATTTCTTTTGAATTATTCTACTGGAATTATGTTTGGAATTCTGAATAGATTATTGTATTTTATTTGTGATTTCTTTTGAATAAATAGATAATCATTTAAAATGAATACAGCAGAGTTACGACCATCTGACGAGACCCTTAAGCAAGGTCGAAATCAAGATCATGGTATGCTTGACACACCCACACCCACACCCTTTTCATTAAGCCATCTGATGATCTGCGTTGCTGCAGTGAAATCTAGATTATGGTAGCTGTTCACACTACAGTTACTTGAATTTATCAACATAACTATATGAGATGTTAACTCTATCTATAGATATGCCAGATATAGATTTGAAATTTTGATTTTTTCTTTAAAATCATTGAATTTTCATTAAGCCATCTGATGATCTGAGTTGCTGCATTGAAATCTAGATTATGGTAGCTGTTCACACCCACACCCTCAAGTGTCTTATTGTAAGACTTAACCCTCGAACGCTGTCTGTGGGCCTAATCGAACCCACAACGCTGTTTTTCGTTTTTTGCTAAGTTATTACTTATCCTTTTTTATTCGAGCTTTATTTTAATCTCTAGTATTTTAATGGCGCTCAGAAGCTATATCAAGTTTTTTTAATAGACCTTACAGCAAAAAAACTGAAGAGCGGGTGCACATGGACCCCCTGACACCCTTCTTGTTATAAGGATCATTTTTAATCTTATTAGATCTGCCATCTGTCGTCTAGAATACTTATTTATGAGAAGATTCGTTAAATTGTCATTACTAATAGTGATTCATGTATTTTTGTGTCTTTATTTGATAAATTTTGTTGAATTTTGATGGAAATATGTCTGTCGTTGCTTCTGGCTATGATGAGTATTCCTTAGTGCAATATCTTGTTAGCAAGATCTTGGGTAAAAATCCATAAGATTTTGGATACACACTAAGGTAAACGTGTAGCCTGTGTCATTATTTGCAACACGATGTATGATGCATCCTGAAAACATGTTTGGAACCTGTCATACAACGAATTTTTTTATTTCTTTCTGTAAAAGCATGTTGCTAGAGCTCGTTGAGTTCTATCTGATGGGATGATTTCTAGCTTTTGGTCACCTCTTTTAGCGAATCCATTCAGGAAATAGTCGAATCCCGATCCAAGATATCCTACGTCATAATTATAGTAGATCACTATAAAATATACCAAAAAGAATCGACATTTTTTCAAGCTTAGAAAGTATTCTTCCTTTCTATATTCTTTCATATCAATCTGTCAATGTTTTGACTAAGTAATCAAGATGCTGAACATGATAGAGCAAAGCATTATTGATGCGTAATTGATGAAATGAAGCGAATTGAGAGGAAACATATTCATAATAAACTAGCCCATAGATGACAAGCACGATAGAGAATCAAAGGGAAAAGAAGAAGAAAAGTTGAGTATAACTGAAGAGTAGCACCAGCACCAGGTGCTGTCGTAGTTGAATGAGATACTGTCGTAGTTGAATGAGATACTGTCGCAGTTGAATGAGATATTGCCAAGGATTCATTTATCACTTTCTCTATCCAATCAATATAGTTCGCTACTTGTGTAAATACAGTCGGATACCGTGGATCTGCGCAAATAACTCCATAGCTTACAATACCAATCTAAGTTTTTAGACGTCAAATAAGAGAATAAAAATGACCTAAAAATATTTCACCTGTTCCCATCGATTTTGCTTCCATTCCAATATCGGACCACCGGAATCGCCTAATGAAAGCCAACTAAGTCAATCTAATCTGGAGAATCAAAATAAAAACAACATACCTCGACATGAATCTATTCAAAAGAAAACAGAAAATTTATCTCTAAGCTAAGATTCCTCCTCATAATAATTCAAACCTTTGTCACCCTGAATAGGAATTCCTGCGCAAAATTGTCTTGCTTTATCTTTGATCGTTTTGTCGCATGGTTCGTCTCGCTTATCCATTGCAAAGATTTCAACTTGCTGCAAGTCTTCTGGAGTTTCTCCAAAAACCTCATCCTCTAACAGGCCCCACCCAATGACAGCTAATCGTGTGCCATTTCCTGGATAATGCAACATATTCGTCGATGAGTTAAAACGTTGTAAACAAGTACGCTTTATGAATGGATTGGTCGAAATATTGAGTGACTGCGACAAATGCAAAATGGCAATATCATTCCAATTGCCTGTTTGACTTGGAACCCATTCTGGATGCATATAAATACGATCCACTTCATTTGGTATTTGCGAGAATTCAGATTGCTTATTACTACCAACAGCAACGAAAAGGTTCGTTGGAGCTTCTGTTTGTCTATTCATAACACAGTGCGCTGCTGTAAGAATGAAAAATTCACTAAGAATCGATCCACCACAAATATGTCGATTGTCTGTGAGTCTTCGTAAAGAAACAACCATTGACCAGCTGTATGGAATTGCATCGTAACCGCCAACAATACGGGAAGGAGGCAAAACTACATCATTATAGCCACAACCGCATGGTATCTCTTTATCGCAGGTATACGTCACCGGTGAATTTGTAACTGGTGGTTTCATTGTGGTTGTCGTCAGCGATTCATTTATCACTGTTTCCATCCAATCAAAATAATAAGCCAAACGTGTGTAAATATTTGGTTGATCATCCATACCGCAACTACTTCTATAGCTTGCAATACCAACCTACGTAGTATACGAAACTCGAAAACAAAAACGGTTTATGGCTTCTGCTTACTTGTTGCCACCATTTCCCTTTCCATTCTAATATCGGACCACCTGAATCGCCTAGTTAAATCAAATCTTTTACATAGGATTATTTAGAAAACAATTGAAAAATACCTGTACAAGTATCTAGAAAATAAATTAAATCATCTCAATAGAATCTAATAGACATTTACGACAGCACAAACCTTTAATACCACTGTTTAATCCAGCACAAAACTGTGTCTTATTATTTTTAAGAGATAGTCTACATCTTGGATTATTATTATTAAGCACAAAAGCTTCTGTTTGCCGTAGAGCATCTGACAAATTATTTGCTCCATGTTGTATCGCACCCCATCCGATAATAGCCAGACGTGTACCACTTGGTGGATACTGTGCTAAATCTGTGTTGTCACTCTTTACATAAGGTACACAAGTACGCTCCAAAAATGGATTCGTATCTATGCCCATCGACTGTGACAAATGAAGAATAGCGATATCGTTCTGATAGCCATCAGAACTTCCAGTCCAATTCGGATGAATATAGATTTGATCCACTTCCATGATGTCTATACCACCTTCCAACCGCTCATGAATACCAGCAGCAACAGTTACACCAGTAGGTGATGTTTTTGGTAGTTTGTCGACACAGTGGGCCGCTGTGAGAATAAAATAGTCACTAAGAATCGATCCACCACATGCATGCTGATTAGTACCATTGAATCGCAGAGAGGCAACCATAGACCAACTGTTAGCTATTGCATCTTCGCTGCTGAAAATTGCTGAGGGTGAAATTTGCACTTGTTCACGACTGCATCCACATGAAACTGTTTTTCTATTGCATCGATAATGAGTTGGATATTTTCTGAATGCTGATGAAGCCGGTGGCGAGGTCTTCATTTCTACTGCTGTTTTAGAATTCAAGGAGCCTAAAATCGATTGAATCCATTCGTAAAATGGACCGATACGTGTAAAACGTTGGTGGCGGTTATCAGGAAAAGGCGCAAACATATCCAAGGATACAATGCCTACTTGTTCCCAACGATCACCAATCCATTGAAAAGCTGCACTGCCTAAAGTGCCTACAAATCGAAGTATCACACATTAAAGACATATTCATATTAGAAATAATTACTTTGATATGACCCTTAAAAAGAAGAGTAAAGAAAAAAAAAGTTTATCACACAGCAACAAATGCGAAACATGTTCAAATCCTAACCTTTCATGTTTTCCTGCACTTCTGCACAGAACTGCATTTCAGCATTTTTGATAGATGCATCACATCTTGAATCACGCTGCTTGTTGAAATACATAGCTATCTGTTGCAATGTCTCTGATGATAATGAACCTGTAGTTTGAGTTGAGTTCCATGAGACAATGGATAGAAAGGTTTCGTGTTCTGTATACTTTATATCTTCATTGAGAAAATTCAATCGAGATGAAGGACACGTTCGAGTTATGTATATATTTTTATCAAAATCGAATGGTTCAGATAGATGAAGTATGGCAATATCGTTTATATATCCATCTGACATGCGTGTCCACTTCGGATGGATATATATATGATCGATGGTTCTTACTGTTCCATCTTGTTCAGATCGAGTATGAACACCAGCAAGAACAGATACCTTTCCTGCTAGAATCGAAGATGAATCAATTCTATCGACACACTGAGCTGACGTAAGAACATAGGACTCAGAAAGAATCGTAGCAGTACAACAATGAGCTGCAATATTTCCATCATGATGGCAATCATACTGTACTGAAACAACCATTGACCAGCTGTATGGCACTACCTCTCCGCTATAAATAAGATTGTTACTCATATCAACATGATTTAGTCCACAACCACATGGCACGAATTGTTTATTGCATTTGAATTGACCATTCACATGAAGTAGTCCGACATTCATCAATGAAATAATACATAACAAGCAAAGTTGTATCATGTTCTTCGAAAAAATAGTTTAATATTCTGAGTTTATATAAATTCCTCGCTTTTATACATCAATACTGAATAAACATTTAAAAAATATTATATTTCTTTAAATCCAACCAGATTCTATATGAATGAAACATTTAATATAAAGTCAATAGGTATGAATAAGAAAAAAACATAGTTCTCATATTTCTTTAACATTGTTATTTGCGCAGCTTAATATCGTTTACGAAATATTTATTTCTTAGTTTAACCATTACTAACATGGAGATTAATAGGTACTAGTACGACTAGAAAGAGAAAACTCGCAGCAATAACTTTAGTTGAAAATTCAATTATTAATATTGGCAGCCGTGGTATTGCGAGGAATACTGCCAAAATAATTCATTTTTTGAAAAAGATATAAACTCGGTATCGTCACACAAACAAGCCTAGTAATTATGATACTCCAGAATCATGAATACTATATTGTGCCCATGTGTTCCTCTCCGATCAAGTCGATTTTCAAAATAATCAATAGTATTATCACTTTTAGATAGTTTCATTATCTGTGCAAATGTTTATTCAAATATTCATTTTCATTATACAGTGTGGTGCATAATTATAAGACCACTTGTTTTCAAAGTGCACTAAATAAAATGAGCGATATTTTTAGTGATTTCACATAGATGATTCATAAGAATAGCGCTATAAAACTTTCAAGCGCGAGTCTTTTTATTTTCTTATATATCTAGAATTACCTCCATTTTGGTGGTGCATAATTATAAGACCACATTAAAAACAATACAAAAAAACAAAAGAAAAAAATCAATACTTTGTCTTGGCCCCATTTAGCTTAATAACTTCAAATATTCTGTCAGGCATCGATTCGACCAGACCCCGACGTTGTGAATTAAAGAGATTCTCGATTGAACACATCACACGACCGGTTTCGTCCTTGCTTAGGGGACTCATCAGGTATGTTCTCAATTGATTATTACATAGCAGTTAAAAACTTGATGGAAAACAGACCGACCTATGTCTCTTCGATGGATACAAATCAATCTGCTAGTCTTAACTCTTGCTTTCCAGCAATCGATGTAGTCGACAATAGAATATTGATTGAATGATGAATGTGCTTGAATTAAAATAAATTCAAAAGATATGTAGAGTGTGCTTTTGCCGACGCGTTTCGTGTATTTATTTAATAATGATGAAACACTCATCAGGGCTCTACATCAAAAATAATAATATACAAGCATAAAATTAGAAATAAACAAAAATTGAAAAGAAGAAACTAGAAATAAATAAATAAACGTTTTGAATAACTTGTATAATACAAGGAACATGTAAATATAAAGTTAAAGGAAACAAGAAGAATTATTAACTGAGAAAAACCTTTTTATACAAATTATCAAATGAAGATGGAATATTCGCGTTCATACATACAAAGATCAACGCTACTACTTCAAATAATATCAATTATTGAAATCGGTCGATCTTGTATGTGTTAATCGTCGTTGTAAATTTTTAACATTCCGTGTACCAAGAACTGGTATCACTTCGTTTATTGGTGATTCTCAAAAGTGTTTATTCCATAAATCATGAAATTTACCAGGAAATGCTTTCATACTTGAACAGTATGTGAAATGAACAAACATTGTTTTACGATAATCAACTGTGGGTGTGGGTGTGAGTGTGCTAAATAACCGCAATAAATTCAAGATTATTTATTATTTATTTCGATTCTATTCAAAGTAGAATCATTATCAAGTGGCATAGATATTTATTCTGATTCGAAAATCAATGAAACTTATATCTAACAAGTAACGCGGCGCAAGTGCCGCTGACCCTCTACTGAAAGCAAAGAATATTTTAAAACTACTATAGCCAGGTCAGTTCCAGAGTCTTATAGTTTCACCTATTGATCTCTCTACTGGATAATTGTTAATCAAAAACGTGGTTTCAAAACCCCAGATATGATCATTCTCGCGGAACAACTGCGCTCTAGCTTTCTTCGTGCCACAACCAAGCCGGCTATACGAAAAGATAATTTTAACCAGCTATGTCCTCACTCGACCAAGAGTCCCAACTAAACAGACATTATTGATATAGCAGTATTCAATTGGTTTCTGTGATCCAGAGTTGATTTTCACCAATATTATGTTCGACGGCTAGTCGTTCCTTGGCGGATGCCGAGGAACGACTAGGCACCACCATTGTTTTTTTACACTGAACGAAAAATAGCAACGCTCGAAATCTCAATAAGCTAATCGTAGATTCGGATTCCCCGACCCCAATTACCTTCGGTCACCCCTTACGGAAAAATATTTTTTTTACAAAGGAGCCTCTCTCTCTCTCCTCAAAAAGGGAAAAAGCAAAATTTCAAAAAACTAATCACGGATTCGAGTTCCTCGACCCCGATTACCTTCGGTCAAACTTTAGAAGGACGTAACTTGAAAGAGGTCAAAAAAACATTTTTCTATTCTTTGCGAACGAACATACACACACAAACACACGCACGAACGCATTTAACTCATTTTTCGTCATACCCTCCTTTCAGTAGAGGGAATTTAGCGTCTGATAAATCGATTACAATCAAATGTATAGATTGAACCTTTTTATCATTTAGATACATTCAAATGTTTTTCTCATGTACTTCTGACGCATTCGTGTGAAATATGTCGCACGATGTTTTTCGCGTCATTCATAAGATAGACATATTGTTTCAAATGAGAATTCACTTTATTCATCGATATGGATAAGCGAGAAATAAAGATTTGGACTGTCGAAAATTGAAAAAAAATCATCGTATAAATGTCGATGAAAATCAAAACTAGAACGAAATATAAAAGAGTTCAATTTTCAATCTCATCATTTATTGTAAAAATTTACGATCTATTTGAATAATTATATCGCCAAGTGTAAATACATTTCTACTTGGTTTTGTTGATTCAAGTTAATTTGCAACTTAGCTAGGTCATCTTAATATGAAACAAACCTTGTAAAAAGAAACTTCGGGTAAAAATCAGATGTAAATTGATTAAAAAAGAATCCAAAATTGATGATAGTAGCATACTTTTAGTTGATCATCATGTGGATTTCACAAAAAAACACTTTGTGCGTGTGAAGATAGGTAAATTTTCGAAAGGATTTACTCGTACTAATGAATTGAATAAAATTATTCGTGCTCATCAAAAATTACCGTTTCGAAATTTGATCAGCGAGAGATTTTTTCTGCAAAAGACAATTAAAAAACAGTAGCTTTGATGAACAGGAGGCTTGAGTTTTTGATTGTAGTGATTGAAATTTATCTTCTTATTTTAATTAAATAGTGAAAAAAAAATTAGTTTCAATTGAAAGAAAATACACGACTCAACCTACGGTAGATTCGTCAGATAAACGAATATAAATCACGTTCAGGTCCTTTATCGCTTAAGTGTGAAGTTATGCTTTCTTGAGGTCTCAAATAACTTCCATTTACGATATCTCAAACTGCGGAAATTTTACCTTGCTTATTTCAATAAGCAAGACACTTGATATTAGCCTTCCATTGGGTACCAGTGTCATATATATGCATATTGATGTTGTTAAAAGTAATATATAAAGACAATTTGACATAGAAGTAACAAAATAGAGAAAAATATGACACAATCGTTCTTAAAAAGATTGATTGTTTCTGAACTTATTCAAATTTAATAGCAAATTTTCTATTTGTTTCTTATGTTCAGCGAAAGAATACATTTTAGAAACTAAAAAGTAAAATGTTTATCATTCTTTTTTTTTGATTGCGAAGTAAGGTTGTTTCTAGTTTTTCAACTAGTTTATTGAAATATGAAAAGACTTTCGTACAGAACGGCTATTCTCGAAAATTCTCTCAATGAGACACTAATGTGAGCAATCGATCAATTAAGAGATAGTCTAATCTGTCTGAGCGATTTGTTTTGTGTGATAATCTATTTTTAAACGAGCGAATGAACGTCTTCAAGGAAAAGAAAATGTTGAAAAGTTTACTTTTTTATCAAGATAACTAATTACTACTCATTAGGGGTGGGCCATTAACATTAATTTTATATTAATGTTAATGTTTCTCATTAACCATTAATATTAATGCTTAATGTTTTCTGAGAAAAACTTAATT